GGGTCCTTCTGTTAATGTTTAGCCCTCCTAAGTGTTATTGCTGGCCATTTCTTTGCATTTTTGACCACAATGCACAAAACTCCCTAGATGATGACATCTAACATCGATGTTTATCAAGCCACAGACCCTTTTTCTACAGTCTGAGTTTTCTGTGAATCTTTCTAGAAGCTGCAGAACAGGTTCAGGTTACTGAGGAAAAGTCATTGCGTAAGTCCTTTTATAGGTATGTATTATTCTACAGCAGAAATGCAGCCTGCGTGGCATAGAAAAGCTTTGATTTCTAGCGTCAGTTGATTGGATGGTAAAAGGCCTGCACTTTTAGCGCACTTTTTTTTTCAAGTCAGGAGACCTGACCAAAGCACTTTACAGTACATTTGATAATTCACCCATTCACACAAACCGATTGTGGCAAGCTACATTGTAAGCATTGCTGCACTGGGGCTCACTGATGGAAGAAAGGCCCTCTGACCACCATTAGTACACAATGCAGGTAAAATGTCTTGCCAAGACACAACAACATTTAAAGCAGGAGCTGGGGTTTGAACTGTCATCGCTTCAGTTGAAGGCCAAAGTCCTGCATCCAACGCCACAGTCCTCAGCTGTAGGAATCAACCACCAGCTTCTTGGTTTTTCCCACCATGATCAGGAGACAGATCGGCTACCACCAGTCCTCAAGTAACTAACCAAATTAGAAATGACAAACTTTTCTCAATTTCTTATCAAAATAAAGCCATTTATCAGAGTTAGTTGACTTAGAAAAAATGGAATTGCACATCTAAAAATGTGCATACACACAATGTAAAGTTGTGATACTGTTTGTGAAGTGTCTGCAGAAAGGGGATGAAAGTCCTAGTTCTGCATTTTCTGCAGGGTGAGTCAGAGTGTTATGCTATGTTCACACCTAAAGCAGCAGAGGCAGCAGAAGCAGGCAAAGTCAATGGTTGACGCGCATCACAGCGCAGCAAACGGTCCTGCAGCGCGCGTCTGACCAGCTGAAGTAGCAGCTGCTTGAGTTGGAAAAATTTAACTTTTGCTGCTTGAGGCACCACATCAACCAATCAGAGAAGCTGATCTGGGAGCTGGCAGGGAGAGAGACACAGCACCTCTGATGCAAAGCTCTATGATCACTCCTCTGAAACAGTTTATTTACGTCTAAATTAACTTAAAATCCTGACATCTGCAGGCAAAAAATGTTCCCTTTTATTATCCTGGTGCCTGCAGTTTGTATTAGATATGTGAAAAATGCCTTCCAGCCGCCAGGAACAGTAGCCTCAAACTACGAAGAGGCGACCGGGCCAGAGGCTGCTGAAAATGCTTCAGCCGCGCGTCAGAACTAAATTTATACAAGAATCAAAATCGAAGCAGCACGCATGTTTTTGCTGCTTCGGCTTCTTGCGGTGTGAAGGTAGAATAACTGTGGACTAAAAACTACAGTCACACTATGACTCACTTTGCACAAACTACTGTAAATGCATTCTTAAACTTAGTTTCTCTATAGAGCTTTGCTGCAAAAACAAAAGTAAAAGCAAACCCAGTTACAAGCAGGAAACATATTGGCTTTTTTTGTATTGCAGCTTTAAACATAATTATCTGTGATCATGGGCCTGAATTATAAAAAAAATGTACATGATAGCTGTTCTTAAAAATGTTACCTAGACCCCTATTATTTACTTTACATACAGCCTTATAAATATTTAACTGCATTATGTTAAATTAAACCCTTGACACAAAAATTGAGGCAGGAATACAAGAGGAACAAAGAAAAACCGATCTATAAATACTTTCTATGTTAGAAAAGGTGAATTTTAACTAGTTTCGCAGGTGGCTCTGTCTAGTACCCCTTTCCCACTGGCTGAAAAACCTGTTTAAACCCGGGAACAATCAGAGTGGGAACAGCTCACTGATGCTTGTCTATCAGGTCAGACAACTTGGCAAGCGACCCACGTTAAAGGAATAGTACACCCAAAACATGATTAGCCTTCATTTTCTACTCACCCCCATGCTGAACAACACTCTGGAGTACTTTTTTGATATCTCAAATGCATCTGGAGATCTGGGAGGCTTCTTGCTGTCTGCTGACATTCAAATAATGGAGGTCTATGGCGCCCGAGGCAGAAAGGTCCATAAAAGTCCACAAAAAACGTGTCAATATTCCTCCATACTGCTCGTCCAATGTATTCCAAGTGTCCTGAGTGGGTAGCATCCAGAATTTACTCAAAACGAAGTCATTTAGAATGTTTTTAGAGCATAAACAGTAGTGTATAGGATTTCCTGAAAGCGCGCACATGCGCGTTCACGACGCTACGGAAGCCGGCAGACCAAACCAGATGAAAGTGCGCATTCAGCGTCTGCTCTGCCGATAATGCAAGCGTAGAAGAAGAAATGTGCTGTTTACCTGTGCAAAGAAAGAAACAACGAAAGAAAAATGTCTGAGGACTTCAGTGTTGAGGAAGAGCATGAGTTCTTTGCCGAGCTGAATGCGCACTTTCGTCTGGTTTGGTCTGCCGCGGTTTCCGTAGCGTCGTGAACATGCTTTTAGGAAATCCTATACACTACTGTTTATGCTCTAAAAACATTCTAAATGACTTCGTTTCGAGTAAATTCTGGATGCTACCCACTCAGGACACTTGGAATACATTGGACGAGCAGTATGGAGGAATATTGACACGTTTTTTGTGGACTTTTATGGACCTTTCTGTCTCGGTCACCATAGACCTCCATTATTTGAATGTCAGCAGACAGCAAGAAGCCTCCCAGATCTCCAGATGCATTTGAGATATCAAAAAAGTACTCCAGAGTGTTGTTCAGCATGGGGGTGAGTAGAAAATGAAGGCTAATCATGTTTTGGGTGTACTATTCCTTTAAATCTGCCTCAGCTCTGCTCGGCATGCTGTGGGAGCACCAGAGCCGGGTAAACCCGCTAAATTACGTGACACCATTGTATGTAATGGATAGTCAACACACCACACCAATCAATCTAACAAGCCAAAACAACTCTGTTTACATTCGATAAACATGGCAACGCATTGGTAAGAGGGATTCAGACGGATAAAAGGGGAAAAAATTAAAGAATACACTCTGGCTCCCGATTATATTGCTCTCCATTATTTATTTCTCTTATTTCCATTGCACTGTTGACATTATTTACGCTCACCCAGCGTGATGTCATCATCAGGCACACAGTGGTGGGGGACAACGGCCACGCAGCTTGCCAGCACCGGGTCATATTTGGCTTTTTGGTGAAATGGGAAAAGAGCCAAAGCTGATTGTTAATGGGTCAACCTGGTTTAAAAAAAGCTGTTTAGGAAAGAAACAGTGAAGCAGACAAGCTCTTAGTCAGCATTCCATGTCAAACGGATGAAGGAGAGCACATCCAGTTAGGTCACAGTAAAAGCTGAGTCTAACGCCACCATGTCTAGAGGAGAAACAGGACTAACCATTGACAGGTCGATATTCAATTCAGTTTAGTTTATTTCTATAGCGCCAATTCAAAGCACATGTCATCTTAAGTCGCTTTACAGTTCACCAGATCATACAGTCAAATTGATTTAAAGTTTTCTATCTAAGGAAAACCAGTTAATTGCATTGACTCGAATGCAATCCCTCACACTAAGATATCTATAATGTAGATAAAGCTGTTGATGGAAGCAGCCCAGCCTATATTTCTTTCCGGGATGGAGTCACAGCCAAACAGGAACAGACGAGATGGAGCAACTATGAGGACGAAAATCAGAGAGAACATTGAGTTTTAAGAGTAGAACAAACACTGCAGAACTGGTAAACAGAGATAGAATAAAGCAGAATAATGAAAAGTGGTCCCCATATCATCCGTCCATCTAAGGTTATAGCAGCTTAACTATAGAGATAGCTAAGGAAAACTTGAACCACTCTAACTATAAGCTTTATCAAAACAGCTGTGTATTAGGCTTTGTCTTGCAAAATTGGCTAGGGAAAAACCTCAGAGAATTTTATTTTTTCATCTACATAAAACTGTACTCTGCCTTTTCTTTTTCAATGCATTCGTGACATGATATTTTTATTATCTTTTTCACTACAATACAGCTGAATGGTTTCAATAGCATATCTATACAACAATGAACAAATATAAAGATAGCGAAATCTGTTTAGCCTGATATGTTTCTGCATGTTTGACTCATCAGCTTGATGCGCAAGTTTGCTTTTCATGCAAACTTAAAACTTTTGCTCGTGAACAGACTCCCCAAATATCACGTTGCTTTGTCAAAGGTAACTCACTGTGAAGAACAACTGATAAATCAGGGCTATTCCACGAAATTTCCCATGTACTTTCTTGTTATTGCAAATTATTGTTCAGTGATTGACAAAAGTTTTCAGCTTGGTCTAAAACCTAAGGAATCAGACTTAAAGTGATGAGTTATGTCACGAAACCTTAATTTTCCACACTATTTTTTGGTGCACTGTGAAATACAGGATTAGAATCTGTACAGCCCCTTTTCGTTTAATTGACAAAAAATATGCACAGTACATAGTGCAATTTTACTAACACAACCTAAGAGGACAGAAAAAAAAAACATTTTTACAAACCTAAGAGAAAATAATTTATCACCTGCTTTGCATTATTTCTTATATCTAGTCAAACCCCACAAAGTGTCTGAACAGCAATTTTCTAATTCTGGACCTTTACTTCAAAGGCTATACACCAATCACTATAAAAACATTAAATTGTTGATCTTGGCTTGTAACTTTAATTAAAGGGACAGCCCAAGCAACCAACAGATTAATTGAAGGATCATCAAGTATTTAGGATTAGGGCACGTTACTCCTCCAATCATTGGCCCAGTTTGAGACACAGTCGGCAATCAAGGGCAAGGCAAGTTTATTTAGCAGCATTGTTGCCACTAGAGACTGACACGGGAGTGGATTTTCACTCCTGTCCCGTCCCACTCCCACAGAAAAAAATGGTGTCCCGTCCCGATCTCGGGCCAGAGTAGAAATCTAAATCCTGTCCCGTCCCACTCCTGGTGAAATTACTCCCACTCCTATCCCGCTCCCATTCAGAATGACTCCCGCTCCTGCTCCACTCCCAATCTTGTTTTTGAGCGCGGGTGAAAAACTCAGAGCGGAAGCCCTGTTGGTTTTTGGGTTGTGTAGTTTTTTTGACTCGCATTATAGTGTAGGATTCAAGGAAAAAAACTACAAAATGGCGGCGCCAGTACGGGATTATTTTCTTTCTATTTTATTTTATTTTTTGGCATCGATCCTAGTTTCTTTTAGTTACTATCGGTTTGCTCCCGCTCCCGTCTGCTCCCGTTAATGTTTAATCCTGTACCGTCCCAATCACGTGATCGTTACTAATACTGACTCCCATCCCAGGGGAATCCCACGGGAATCCCGCGACTCGTGGGATTCCTGAAAAAATGTCAGTCTCTAGTTGCCACTGAAGATCCAAGTCTGAGTCCATCACTGCACCAAGATTTGGAGGCAATTTCTTTCGGTATATAGTTGTATTAACTGAAGCTGTTTGCTAATTATTCAAAGATTATTACTTCAATTTTGTTTGATTCAGCTAAGGGAAATTTTCACCCATCCATGCGGCAATTGATCAACAGTGTGTAATGCTACACTAAGGTCCAATATAACCCACAGTGTGGTTCACAGGGCAACAGTCATGCTTTTTTTTACTTTAAGGAATCTGGATTTACCGGACAGAATTCATACATGTGAGAACATGCAACCTCCATGCAGAAAAACCTGGAAATGAGAAGGATGACTTTTGTTTCTGTAAGGCAAAGGCATTTACCACCATACGCAAGCAACATTTTCTAGAGAGCATTATTATACCTGAAAGAATTCAAGTTTATTTTTATTTTCACATCTATATCAACAGATGCTGTTCTATTTTCTAAATAGTTGGATCATGGCACACATTATAGTTTTAAAAAAATTATAAATAAAGTCATATGATAAGAACCTAATTGTAGCATATTCTTTTCACCAATAATGATAAAATAAAAAGATCTCCTAGGTGTAATTCTGTCAAGTTTTCCTAGAGGGCACACTTTTTTTTTTTCTTCCAGTAACTCTTTTCATTAAAAAAAACTCTTCAGCTTTAAAGAGTGAAAAGAATCTGGAACAGATTTGCTCACTTTTGTGCAGATGTTCGAGAGAAGGTTCTTCCTTTTACACACACACTTGCCCAGAGCACATAGTAAAACACATTCACACAGAATGGTCTCTTTGGCTCCCCAGGTACTCTGTGGCTTTTGTGCCTCCAAGCAGAAACACAAACTGTACACTCCTTTCATACACACACACACCCACGCAATGTGAAAAAACATTTGATTTCTAATTTAAACGTGCCTCTTTGATATCTAAAACAACAAAATTCCACTTGCCCCAGATGACTTCCTGAACTTAAAAAGGCTTTATGGGTGTATTTTTGTGAATCCTCACTAAACAAGCCAAGATGTTGGCACCAGTTATGTGAGTTTAACAGTTGCTGCATGGGGGGAAAGGAAGATGTGAGTGGATATAATGGAGGAGGTCTGGTGTCTGGGATGTGGGCAGTGTTTGGAAAGGAGGACTTCATCAGACAGTTGGCAAATAGTGCTGGAAGCTTGAAAACACACCACACAAACGTACACATACAACTCCCAGGGGTTCCAGTGAGGACTCAGGTTAACCTGTCTCTACTGTAGCGGCTGATCAAACAGGTAAGTGTCACTTATTGCTCTTTGTTTCTCGTCCGCCTCTGTTTCCTGTTTGTTTGAGGCTGGCTAAGCTGGAAATGATCACAGCTAGAATGCACACTTGTTACATTACAGTAAACTCTTTGCAGTGTTCTGAGAGAAACCGTTGCAAACATGTTAATCAAGTTCCTCATTATTCAAACCTGTCCTGCAAATTACGGCTGTATAAAAGAAACCATTTGTGTTTGAACAGCTGGGAACAGCTTTTCTTTTACTGTATTACTGTAAGCATCCATGCACTATTTCCTCTGGTGTATTTTCCATGCCTAAGTAGGTATGCTGATGAAGATTCTCAGTCATCCAGGTCATAGTCATTCCGTAAAAGTTCAAAAAATATCCACTGAGTGGATATTTTTTGAACTTTTACGGCATGCCTAAGTAGGTACCTGTATACTGCAAAATCAAACAAGTATTAATGAGTTTTACCCTTTGCAGTTTTTTATAAAAAGAAAAAAAAAAAGAAATAAAGGTGGTTGAATTCAAAGTAACCTGCAAAGTTTGGCTCATATATGTGTATGAAAAGGTTTTTTAGTTGTGTAATCCTTTAATATTATCGATCGTACGATATGTCAACTGATATCAAAGGGAATGTTTGTTAGCTTTAAGGAGGGAAGTCAGTGTCATTTGTGTCGCCTAGAGATGGGAATCAAAAATATCAATGATATTGATACAAAGTCGTTATAAACTTTTATTTCCTGGGCCCAGGCTGGGACCCAGGAAATAAACGTTGGATATGGGCCTCTGCCTGTCAGGTTTCATTTTCCACACTCCACCTAGTTTCACTTTAGCCTATTGAATTTTTATACCTCATACTTAAATTTACTGATCTGTTCATGTAGTTATGGGGAACCTAATCAAATATTGATCAAATATTTGGCAGTGGCCTAAAACGTTAATCTTTTTCTTCAGTAACCATCTCGGCTTCGTATGTTAAAGCTCATCAGGAAAGTCATGCAGATCACCTTACAAATCAGTTATTATGACTTACTGCCTTCTACAGTAGCAGCCATTCAAAATGGCCCTTCCCTGTCAAACACCAGCCTAATGGCAGCCCAATTCCCTGCAACTCCCAGAAAAATCCCCTCCAACGTCCAACCACTGAGGTGACCCCCTCCTTCTCCTGGGCGTGCATAGTTTTTTTACTCTGACTCCACCCCTTCGCTGAATTACAGAGTCTGACCAGGATATGAAGCTTCTCTTTAGTACTTAATGTCCACAAACCATGACAGAAAGAATATTTTAGCACAAAGATTGACGTTTAAAAAGGAACTATAGGGGACCACCAAAGGACCAGACAAGAAAAGTGGGGACGTTTTGAATGGCCACTACTGTACCAATTGTACGGCTAGAGATAAAATACATTAATGATGTCTTTGGTCTATAGTGTTAAGGTAGGGTGGAGGTTGGTTGAGGTCACAAATGCATAGATGAGTTTTGCTGATTTATTTAAAGGAACGAAAGGCAACAGAAGCATAATTCCAAAAACGATACCAGAGAGAAACACACATGAGGAATAGGTAATGAAGGGAAAGCAGCACTGATTAACTGCAGAGATTATTATATATGGGAGACACAACCAAGAGTGATTATCAGTTAATTGGGAGCAGGTATGGAAGAAGTAGCTAGAAAGGAGCCAATGGGAAATAAAAAGGGCAACAAAGAGCAACCAGGCATAACAGGGCTTAACTGTAGCTAGAAAATAACTTAAACTAGACCAAGGATAAATAGCAGAAATGATATGTCATGACAAAACAGAATAACATAAAATAAAGTACAACTGAGAACCAAAAATAAAAACTTGCAAAAGTGCGTAGTAGCAGATAATGACACATGGTCCTTTAGTAAAATTGTGTATTTAATAATTACTCATTT